TGTTTATTTCAATATTTCTTCTATGGGTATTTGGCAATACTCGAAGCAACTGTATAGTAAGCCAAAAATTTAATTAATTTAAATAATATAAAATGAATTTTTGTTGTTAAAGTTCACTACTGTTCGAAAAACCTCTTTATTTCTTCTATATTTAATAACTTTTTCGTTTAAATCTTTGACTGATAAAGCTTTTATTGCAACGATGTAGTTATATTAGTTTTGCCAGGGATAATAAATCTAATTAGAGTTAACTGCTTAGCATTAAGATATCACACTTCTACATTTAAGAATTTAACCATTATTAATATTAATTATTAAATCATTTAATTAACCTTTATTATTCAATTTTATATCGTTGTTTCAAGTGAATGTACACTCTGTTTCCTTTTTTATAAAATACTCGTATCACCAGGTCACTTTTAAGGAAGTCATCCCAGTTAAAGATGTAGTTAATAGAGTTGTTCCCATAACATATGGGTGTCCACCATATAATTACTTCCTATTCTATAGATAATTATAGAATAGTTGTTCTATAGTCTCTTTGCCTCAATGTTTTTACTAAATTGTTTTGGATCTCTGTTTGGTTAGTAGAAAATGTTTGCTTCTTATAGAGTTTAGAAATATATTTCTAAATAAATATAAATGTAAATAAATTTGTCTACATAATGTGACATTGGATCATATGAAAACCTTTTATTAATATGCTTTACAATAATGGGCATGTGAAATATAGATGATCCAAAAACTTCGCACGTGAATTGAAAATACTATAAAATTTTGCATGTGAACAGTATATTAACCAAAGTTTCGCATGTAAATAGTACATAAACCACACTTTATATGTAGACAGTACATGGTCCAAAGTTTCGCATGTAAACAGTATATGATCTAAACTTAATAATAAAGCAGAATAATGTTAACTGATTAGTATCAAGATATCATACCTCTACTCCTAGGTACTTAACTATAGCAGTTAAAGACGTGGTTAACCTTTTAAACCTTTTAATAATAAACCTTTTAATAATAATTCATACAACGGTTGGCTAGTGAACAGTATATAATCTGAAGTCTGGCATGTGAACAGTACATGATCCAAAGTTTTGCAAGTAAATAAAAATAATTCAAAGTTTCGCATATGAACTTTACATGATCCAAAGTTTTGCTTATTAACGCTACATAGTCCAAAGTTTCGCATGTGAATAGTTCGTGATCCAAAATTTTGTATGTGAACATTATTTACTCCAAACTTTCACATACTTTGAAACAGTGCATGCTCTAAAGTTTCATTTTTTCCAGGTATATTGCATTTCTCACAATTATTGTCGTTTAGCTTGTATATAAATTATGCGGGATCATACTTATATTAAAAAGTATTGTTCCATAAATGTATCACCAAAAGTGTTAATGGGTCTATGTGAAGAAAGATATAAAGATACAATAAATTTTGGGTATCGCCAAATATTAATCAACAGTGGTACTTGGAACATATATTGGCTTAATTGCTCGTATATAATTCTTTATCTGCAAGTGGTCAGATTTTAATCCTGCCAAATTTAAACCATAGACCCGTGTGTTAATAACCAAATACAACGTACGCTTAATTTGTGTTATGCAGATTTTAAGTTTGTTATTCATTAATAAGCAACCTTTATATTTGCTGGGTTATTTTCTTTAACTAACGCATAAACTACAGCTATATAAATTATTTAAGTTATTGTAAATTGTTATTTTTTCCAATTTTAACATTATTGTTTAATATATATTTGTATATATTTGTATCTGTTAATATTTATGTGTGTATTTAGTAATGTCTGAAACATCTGTATGATGAGCCCAACAATGAACTTTATTAGAAATAAATTCTTGATTTAAGAATTTCCTCACTAATACCCCTTAAAAATTTATAATTAAATATTTATAAAAAGCAAAAGTAAACATATTAATCTTATAATTAGAATTAAAATTTCTGAGTCATCGTTTCCAAATAATTTAATGACCCATCTATCTATCTATCTAATATAACCATAACATAAAAATGTTCCTTATCATTAATTTACCAGATAGTCAGTCATTTTAATGTACAAAACATTTCCTGGTACTAATTTTGGTTTCATTACTTAGCACTTTTTTTTCATATGAAACCACAAATTCATATCAAAATTAAGCTCAATTTAATTATCTGCACAGATGCTTTGTACAATCTGTAATCTGTCGTCGTGTGTCAATTATTATTATACTTCATATATACAATTCATTATACACAGTAATGTATTTTTTTGTTATAATATTTTCCAGCATTTTGTGTTATTTTTTATTCTCAAAATAAAAAAAAAATTAAATAAATTAAAATTATTCCATTTCAAAATTGCTGATTGGCTTCATCAATAATGTACATATAATGGTATAATATGAGTGTAGCATTTGAGCTCTGTTAAGTTTATAATAAATTATACAAAAAGTTATTTCTTTAATGATTTAATCATTTCATTATTGAGTTCTTTGTATTATTTAATATTTTCTAAATTTAAGCTTCATTATTATTATTATTATTATTTTTCTTTATTGTTATACAAACAACGTGTGTTTAGTTTAAGATACTCGTGCAAATTACGTAGATGATTTGCAGTATCTACAAATGTGCTAAAAATATACAAAAATCCTATTTATTTTGGTTTAAATGAATTTATTTTTAGTTATATATTTTCATATGTTATATGATATTTGTTTTATTTATATTGAAAGCTTGATACATTGTCATGATGATTATCATATTTTAAATTTATGTAAAGCTACAAAGTTAATTTCTCAAAAGAGTTTATTTATACTTACATGACTAAGTAAATTTCAACTTACCTAAAAAGACAAATATAAGAAAATTAGGTAAAGTATTGAATAAAAATTATAAAATATAAAAATATAAAATTTATTATTCATTATAGCTGTAATTTTTGTAACATTTCAGTTAATCTGTCTGTAGACATAGATCTATTCTATTTAGAAAGAGTGTCTGTGTATGTCCAAAAGAATGAAGCAATTTTTTAACTCAACATTTATTAATGTGCCATGGTACATCCGCACAAATGACATACTAAGAGACCTTTGAATAGACCCGGCCAAAAATACATAAGAGACAGAGCGCTGAACTTATACGCAAAACTGACAGGCTGTTCTACATACCACTAATCTATTTTTCAGAGCAGCAACTCGCCGTTCGGGTCGGTATGCAGATCTTAGATCAGTCGTCGAACAATCAGCGTAGCTTGTTAGGAATACATAAATTAGTTAAGAGAAGTGAGGGACTCTATAGAAACCCCCCAGCTAAGTAAGAGTAAGAGTGCCCAACTGGACACTGAATCAGAACAACCACAACATAATACATTTATTAATACCAGCACATATTAATATTAACATCCGGATATATCTATATATACTATTTCATGATATGTAAATTCATATGAGAACTTATATAGTTTTATATAATTTATTCATATAATTTATATGTAAAAAATATGTGAAGAAAATAATTGCATAAGGAACATTTGGGTCTTTAATTGAGTTAGTTGGTGCATGGATAATATCCCTTGTTGGTGGTATCCTGCCATAAATGCGACATTTAAGGAAAATTGAACACCTAAGAGAAAACTGAAAGATCGGAAGACACAGCCTGAAGACAAGTTGAAAATATTATTATAAGACAAATCTGGCATCATATCTGTTATGTAGCTTTAAGTTTCTTGTGGCAACGTCATTCCTTGTGGCGTTGAGTTTTTAATTACTTATTAATGTGTTCCTTCTTTAATTACTCAATAAAGTGAAACATGTTTCTATAGCACACTTCGCGTTATATACACTACCGGGCAAACGAGACATGAAAGTTCAATATGGCAGAAATATGTTAAAAATGTTCCAAAGTATATGCATTATTTAAAAAAAAAATATCGGAACTTCTGAGTATTGCATAGACATCAACAAGACCTATTATTAAGAACTAAGAACGTCCGGGTCTACGTTCTGGAGCCACTACTCAACCACGACAACCGTTCACCACCGCTAAGAGATTTCACGAGCAGATTCCAGCGGGTTGCTAGAACAAAAACAAAATAAAGAAAATTATGCTTTCAGGAGAAAAACACAAGGTAAAGTTGAACGTTTTTATCGATTTAAAAGGAAATGGTCAAAACGAATTTATTCCAAAAAGTCGGAGAGTAGGCGTATGAGGACTACAACAACTGTGGGTTGGATTTTGAGAAATTCAAGTGGTATATCGGAATCAAGCTAGATTAATGTTGTACCTTGGTTTAGTTTGGTTTAAGTAGCGGCAGTCTTTTTTCTTGTGAACCAATAGCTCATAAGTGTTGCTCTGTATGATAAACCACATTATGAAGAGCTCAGTTTTAAAGTTTACTATAAGCACTATCTTTGTATATATATAAAAATATAATTTAATATTGTAATTTAATACTATTTGAAATACCGCACTATTAAAAATAATTGTTTATATTAAGAATTTAGTTTCTTTTGTTAAAACAGACGTTAAAAATTAATTTAATATAAAAATTTAATATAAGATTCATATATATTATTTTTAAAAATATTTAAGAATAAATATATAAATTAAAATTAAAAATTAAATATAAAAAATTATTTTTACTTATAAAATCATGTATAGTTTTAATATGTAATATAGCTTTAAAATGTTACTGATGAGGGCAAAATGTATGGGTGTGTGTTTGATGTGTGATTGCAAGCGACAAAAACGATTGTTTGACAGCAATTGTGGATGTGTAACAGCCTCTTAATTTACGCTCTTAGCTGATATAATTAGAACAAAAACTGTACAAAGATGCACATAAAGTTTCCTTTCTGATGAAGAGATATTAATTAGCTTAACCACATCTATGCTTTGTTTATTGTGTATTGTTTATTAAGATATTATGATTAAAAATAAATAGAAATAACAAGTGTTAATTATTCATTGTTTTAATTTTAATTTATTTTAGCTGGATCTCCGATTTTCTACAGTGCGGCACCGCGTGGTATTTGCAATAATTGCTGTGCCATTCGTGAGCGCGAGGATATCAAATTCTTATTATACACAAGGTATTGTATTATTTTGCTATTTGAATTAGGAATTTAGAAAAAAATCTAAAAACCATTATATATTTTAATAAAAAATACTTTTTAATTTCAGTAAAAACTCTAATAAACCACAAAATTTACATTTGGGCGATGAACGACGCTTGACTAAAAGTAATTTCAATTTAAGACAACCGCTGGCAATTTATTTGCATGGATTTTCGGAATCTGCTACTGGCGAGAACCAGAGCAGTCAACAGTTGAAAGATGGTGAGTGGCAGTTAGTGGAAGAAATAAGAGAAAATAATATTTGCCTGCAATTGTCGTTGGTCCTTTTGTTCCTTGCTGCCATTTTTCAATTTTATTTTTGTGCTAATGTCAACTTATTTACAGCATTTTTAAAAACGGGAAATTACAATGTGATCCTTGTCGATTGGAGTCCCTTAACGGCTGTGCCTTGGTATGCAAATGCTGTGGAAAACTTACCCGTGGCTGGTCGTTATATAGCACGTTTTTTACGTTTTTTAATTGCCAGAGGTTATCCAGTGAAATTTATTCACTTGATTGGATTTAGTTTGGGCGCTGAAGTTGCTGGATTTGCTGGCAAACAATTACAGGAATGGGGCGTTACGTTACCGAGAATAACAGGTTAGTTCATTTTATTGTAAAGCAAAATGTAAAATTACGACTATTTGCATTTCATCGATTGGTATACTTTATTAATAAATAATTTAATTATGCTACGAAGAAGTATGAAAAATAATGCTTGACTAATTTTATGACCAAATGTTTGTTATTTATGGAGAATCGATGAAATCATCAAGTTTGTACTTAATTGTTTAGTACACATTAAATACTTATTAAAATAGTTATTTACAAATAATTTCAATGCAAACTCTTGCCTTTTAATGCTTATAAATAATTTATGCATTTATTGACATTGACATTGTTGCAACTTGCAAGTAATTGCAAGCATTTAAAACCAGAAGCGGCTCTTCTGCTGCACTTTATTTTCAAGAATAGTTGCAATTATTAAGACTCAAATAACATTTAGCTACCTTGTAAGAAACTAAACTTATAGACTTAACATTATTATGTTAGTAAGAAGGTCTTTACTATACAATACATTATGCATAATTCTTATGCAAAATAAATTGTTATGAAAAAATCTTCTGTCAGAATGATTATTCCAGGAATACAAGATCCGAATATATCTATAAATGTTTTAAATATCTATTATCAAATAGAATATAAATAGATTATAAAACTTAAAGGTATAAACAGATAGTACTTATGTAAAAATCCGTACTATATTATATGCTTACTCGACATAAAAAAGTGCTACATAACAGTATTATAAGTGCTTAAGTTTGCAATTTCTTTTATTTGTTAAACAGAAAACTTAGTTAATAGTTGTAGTAAGTTCTTAACTTATATTAAATATAAAATTGTAATATAAATTAATATATTACCTGAATAAAGAATGTCTAATTAACTAACTTAATTTAGATAGGTTAGTTTAGGTTAGAGTGGCGGCCTTGTGCCCAAAGCCCACTTGAGCACAAATTATGCCTCGTTGTGACACCATAGATTAACGTTCTTTATACGCAGATTAGATTAGTCAGGGTAAGACACGATTCCCCCACTCAAGTAAAAGTGAGCCAACCTGACAATTTTATAAACTTAATTTACTCTCTAATTTCGCAGGATGACAATTTGGACAGGTCAGTAAGAAAAGGGACCCCGAAGATTTTAGGTGGAGTACAGCTTCGTCTGACTGAACGTCAATATACGAGTAACGCCGTAAGGTACTATTTCGCTATGCACGTAAAAGTCAACCTACCTGATAACTATTATATGCTCGGTCAAATTCCTAATTTTATAGGATGATAGCTTGGTCAGGTCGGTAAGAAAAGATGACCCGAAGAGTTTAATTTTAGATGAAGTTTCCTCCTCATCTGCAGAGCCACAACTATGACAAAAGTCATTATAGGGTAGATACAATTTAATATCATGTCTTCATAGTATGCAGTGACCCTACAACACCAATAACGTAGTGCTGACCAGATTTCCCCTAAGTTTAAGCAGTTGACTGGTAGGTTTTTTCCAATTTAGTACAGGCCAAACTTGAGTTCAGACAGAAGAATTCATTTGCCCAATTGTGCTTACCCATGCTTAAATATATTTGTTTGATTGTTTGTTTATATTTGTTTTGAGAAATGAATATAAGGGAACAGAGTGTCAGCTTTGGCCAGCTCGTCTACCCTAGAGTTGTTCGAAATGTCCCTGTATTCAGGCACCCTGTCACGCTGACACATTTAGCTAATTCGTTAAGAGAAACCCGGCATTCTTGAATTGTTAGGGATGTGGTTGTAGTGCCTATCACAGATGTTGTTTGAGTCCCATTTTACTGCATAGGGATTACTAAGAGTCTTAAAGGTAAGACTCAGTTTATTGGAAGATATGCCACTATTGACTTGTTCATATGTTATAAAACCGCCTGAGTAGATGTCGGTCGTGTTAAAAAAAAATTTTGTCTAAAGTTTAGTCTTTCCTACTCGGTTTTCCCTACTAGTCAAGTACCAGATCAAGTTCAGGAACCGGAGGCAGACAGGAACCGGTAAATCGTGATTCAGTACGATATCATGCCATATGTCAATCCTGGACTAATGGAAGTAAGTGTTGAGACTGGTTATCACTAATTTGGGTTGCTATTTTGCCGAAATTGGAGATGGCAGCTAATGAAGCGTGGAGTTGAAACTTAGAGCTCATTAGCATAAGCTATGACGCTTCATGCAGATTGTCCCAACTAGTAGATACTTCATTAAATATTTTTTACTAACTAATTAAAATTTACTTATCACACTTAACTACTATTTTATTTGTATTCAATTGAAAACGCTTCTGATAAATTACAACTACGAGTAAAATAAATCCTTAAGATAAAAAAATATAATAAAATTTTTATTGAATGTTCTGTACATGGTACTATAAAAAGAAAAACTTAATTATTTTTCACTTCATTAATTTATTTGGCTGCTTAAAATGGACTCATTTTCCAAAAAATTTTATCTCATATAAGAAAACAATATATTACATTACAAGGATAATACCCATACATGCGAGTACAGACATATTATGACTACAAGCAGAAAATAAAAAAAAATAAAAATGTAACCAATTCTGTACATATATTATAGGACTCGATCCAGCACTCCCACTGTTCGAAGATGGCAGCACAAATCGACGCCTGGGACCGACAGATGCACGCTTTGTAGATATAATACATACAGATGGTGGCATACTTGGCAATCCAGAAGCGATGGGACATGCAGATTTTTATCCAAATGGCGGACGTCCATTGCAACCAGGATGTGCGCGGCAGGAAATTGCCAATAATCGTTGGTTGGGCATTATAAGTAAGTAAATTTATAACATTGCAAATGCTATAGGCAAGTAAGAAATGGAACAAAAAAAAAGGGATCTAGATATGTATATATAAATATGAATAAAAATGTAACAATATAATGAATTTTAATGTTGTCGGATAATCTTTATTCTTTATAGTAGCTGTATGTTTCTATAATTTATTTTTATTTTTTTTTGTTTTTTATTTTTCCATTTCATATAAACTTCATTGTATGTCTTGTTTTATAATGTGCCTGGTTGGCTTGTGCATAGTTGGTTGCAGTCATCAACGCGCATGGGAATATTTTATGGAATCTGTTAAATGGCCGCTGGCATTTCCTACGAACAGATGTGAGCCATCAAAAACATTTGCCATTTGCAAGGATGGTAATGGACGCGCTTATATGGGCATGGGAGCCGACAGAAGGTTAGCTTTTTTTTAAACTTTAAATAAAACTTTTTTTCTCTTTACTATCCTTGTTTGCAAAATTGTTTTACAAAGTTGTGAAAAGGATGTGTACTTGTTTAGTTCTATTTCTATGTGAAATGTGTGTATGAAGTGGAATAGTGCACTGTGCCTTGCGCTTTTTGTTGTTGTGCACATGATAAGCCAAATGCTGGCTCGTACGTAATTACTATTTCAAAGTAGTGCTGTGTATCTTTAGTGGAATTGTATCTTTTGAGGCAACTTTTAACATTTTAATCAAAACATTAACTGATGTTCCATTTGCTGTTCAAGGAAAAGTACAAAAAGTTTGTTCATTTATAACAAAAGTATGTTTTTGAAAATACGAGTACCTAAAGGATAATTGTATTATATATTAAAACTCTAATATCAGTAAATACTTCTAATTAGGTGCAGAAGTGGTTATAGTAAACTTTAAGTCTAATTGAGTTAGTGCACTTGAGCACTTTTACTCTCTATTAACTAAGAGGTTTCTTCATAACACCTCTCTATACCTTGAATGGATTATTGTTTATCACTTCAACAAACTAAGCAGTAATTGACCTTAGATCTGCATCTCCCCGAGGAGCCTGTACCCATTCTAAGATTCCATAACGCGGTGTTGGTAAGCCTGTCAGTTTTCGTAAATAGTTTCAGGGCTCTTTCTTTTTTGTATATTTTGATGGGATCAACTTGAGGTCCTTGAGAATGTCATTCGTCGTAATGTACCATGGTATCTTAAAAAGTCTTCTCAAAGCCTGGCTTTGTACAATTTCATTGAATTTAGATAAAAGTTGTGTTAAGAAACATGGATGATATCATGGATATTCTTTGTTCTCAAGTTATAACTACTAGCATATAATTAGAGGTATTCCATTATGCTCATGAAGGAAATTTTGTTGAATTAGTAAAAGTTCATTCCAGACTATGAAAAATGTATGGAGGATCGAGTATATATCACTTTCAGATTTCTACTTAGAGATTGCAAGTAGTGGTGCTTACTTTCTTTGATGATTGTTTTAAGTTATATTAAAAATTTAATAATACTTTTTATAGAGAATGTAAACTTATGTACTTAACTCAAAAAATATATAAATTAAAATTTAATTTTTATTTTTTACACAGATTACGTGGTAAATTTTTTTTGGAAACAAATGGTTTTTCACCATTTGGTCGCAATGCACCAAATGCTGGATTAATATTATTGCCCACAGCTTCACAAGCAGTGAATACAAACCAAAGCCATGTACTGACAGATGTCATTGCAACATCAACAACCAGAGCAGCATCCGTATCAACTGCATCATCAAATGCATTAACAACCAACAAACTGACGTGATAAAATATGCAATTTTCATCGATTTTGATATATAAATTTTTAATTAAGAACATTTACGGATTCATCTAAAAAAAATTTAGTTTGTGAATATATATATATTGTAGATATATATTCCATAATGCCATTAGGATTAACTTTTTCTGGTTTGCTATGCAATGAACTTCAAACAGTTTTAATTTCATTTGTGATAATTTATATATGTAAGCTTTAAATTTAATAAAATATTCTAAGTTATTTTTAATATTGAATATATATTATTAATTAAATTATATATGGGTATCTAATACTTAAAAAATATTGTTTAGTTAGTGTCGTTATAAAAAAATGTATGTATATATGTTATATGTAAGTTAAGGTATACTTTGTTACTTTAGGATGTGAGTTTGGAAAGTAAATGTTTAATTTGAAACGTTAGTAGCTCAGCTTTGAATAATAATATTCATAAATTATTTGAAAAAGGAAATAAATATAAATAAAATATATATAAAATCATTATGTATAAAGCAATAAAATTTTATATAATTTTATATACAGTAAATGAGCTGCTTTTAATTTTTTTAGGCAAGATTAAGATGCATATGTTACGTGGTAGATATGACCCTTTCTCATACTTTTTAGCAAAAATGCACATATCGATTTAAACCCACTCTGAGTATATAATTTTAATAATTTTATATTTTATTATATTTTATAATATTATACTGCTCGTGACGCTACTACCATTGATGAACTATAGTATCTTACCCTATTCACAATTTCCGAAGCATATCTTTCACTTTATTTGAATCCAGAAAAGCCTGAATCTTTTCCATATTGATGTCTGTTTACACCGACTCGTTCATCAATTATTTGTGAAGTACTCAACTCCAATATTTTATAAGAAGTTGGATATTCTATAAGGATATAGAAGGATGCTTTTGTGTTTTTCCGCACCTAATGCTTATATAGAAGGCAGTGATCGTTTATTACTCCAACCATTGTTTAAATCTGTTCTTTAGATTTAGGACCTATGTGCTCTTCTCCTTTGAGTAGCTTGGGAAAAAAATGCTATGTTCAACGAGAACCTTTCCTATATTATCTTAACAATATACGCCAGTTTTATTATAAACAAAATTAAAATAATTATGTAAAGGATATATATAAGTCAAGAACATTTATTTTCACTTTTGCTATATTATTTGTCATAATTTAAAAATAGTTTTGTACCTTTTTATTCAACTGTGAACTAATAAAATTTAAGTATTTATTTGCAATTCATTGAGATTATTTTAATTTAGTTGAATTTAAAATTTAATTGAATTTAAAATTTAATTGCAATATAAATTAAATTATTCCATCCGAATTCCGTGTTTTTATTTTGCTTAATTGCTTAAACTGTGTATTTTCAAAACAATGTGAATCACAAAGACATAAATATTTAATTACTAATGTGAAATACACGACAACTCGTAAATATTTTATTACTTTCTTGACCTATGGTGTTTGACTTAAATACCTAAATTTAGTTAAATGGCTTTTATATCAAAACAATACTTAACAGTAGAATAACGTCAACATTTCCCACAGCATTTTAATTACTTAGTTATTTGATTTTAATTGCGGCGAACTTTTATTCAGATAGAGTTCAACACATATTTATACATAGTTCTTAATTGGTTTAGTGTTTCCTTAGACAATATATATTATAGTAGCGGAATGAACCTATACTAACGCACTCATAAAATTTCATAACATATAGATCAACAGAAATAGAATAGAAACGAATTTCCATTTGCTTTGCAATAAACCAGAACTTAGTCAATTGAGAGTCTTACCTATCATTTTCCTCTTTTATATCTTAAGTCCTAAGTATCGATAGAGGTAATTACTAATGCCTCCATCGGTAAGGCAACTCTTTAACTAATTGTGTAATATAAAAATGTCTAGATATGAAGAGTGACTGTTCTTCAATAGAATAGATATAAGTCAATTTAGAGACATATCTATTATTTCTGTGGTCATCTCTTAGTAATTACATGGGTCAATAAAACTAAGCTTTTAGGAATTTGCTCTTAAAATTTCATGATATGGAGATGCATAGAAGTGAATTTTAGTCCGCTCTTGAATAGACTAAAGAACTTACATTCTAACTTTGTTTATCAGCGATAATATGTATCAGACTACATTCAGATCATGTGGACTTACTAGTATTACAACTCACAGATTATTGTAGAAGAGAAAATCATGCTGGACGATTGAATCTTCCTTTCAATTACATTTGTCACAGTTGTGGAGATGATGATGATAGTGTCTCTTATATGCTGTGTTTTGCCCAGCACAAGCACGGCGTCGCCTCTGGGGGTCCTCTTTTTCGAAGATCTTGGACACACACACACATATAGCTGTAAGCCCTTCCATTAAATAGCATTTTGAGCTTTGCCGAAGGTTCGATTTAGTTTCAAAGATCTGTGTTTTTTCCTTCTCGGCCAATAGGCCTAAGTTTGATCGTTGGCACAACCTATCCTAACCTAACTTAACCTACTAGTTTTACATATTGTCACACTTTTCAATATACCTATAATTCGTTATTTCAAGGTATTTTATTTTAAAAGTTATTTAAACTACACAGTAGCTCCGAAAAATTGGTCACTTGGTAGATTCTCTTCTTACATATGTAGCAACTATTACATTTATATCAATGTTCTGGAATCCAGATCCCTCAGAAATATTTTTCGTTTCGTTCGAGGTATCGATTTTTCTTCTATGTTGATAGAAGAGATAAGAAATTGTGATGGATGAATTCAAACTGTGAATAACAGACTGACTATAATTCTAAAGTACATCGATATTCTTTTTAGATATATAGTAAGGGATTAGTATTTTACAAGCTCTCCCAATTACAAATATTTTACAAAAGTCTAATATATGAACTCACATTAGCTAATATTAGCGACTAATTACTTATTAAAATTACATGAAATTATGAAAAGGATTAAGGAAGCCTTTAGCAAACCTTAAAAATTATATATGGTATAAGCAAAAATTTAGTTCAAAAACTTTTTTTATTCTATCAGTACATACACTCTCATATAATTGTTTAATAATTCACTTAAATATTATGACACGTGAAAATATAGAAATCGAAAGCTCCACATATCCTCCACTCAGTTTAGTAAATGGAATATAGGCGTGCCATGTCAGGAAAACAAGTAAAACTTAGCCTTATTTTTTATGGGCATGACAAGTTCATTCAAAAAAAATGAAAAGTAAAAATTCAAAAACTCAACTTTTAAATTGAAAAAACTTTTTTTTTACATTAAATAACAGAAGGACACTTAAAATCCTGACAACAACATATCAAGTGAAAGCATTTTTAAGGAGTGTTTATATGTGCACTCATTAGGAGCTGCTTTTGATTGTTGTGGCGCTTATTATGTGTATATTTTTTAGTGTCCTTTGGGTTTCAGCACGAACAAGGATTATTTGTTAATTCGCTTGTTTGCTTTGTTATGGGACACGTGACAGTGTTGTGTCACTGAAAAGATTTACTGGGGCTACTTAGACAGGCTTAACTACACTTCATGCCAGTAGAGGACATAGGATTGTGAATGATGTTTGTAACTTTGTGGTAATTAAGAATACATATAACTTTCGTATTTGTAAATAAATATAAATTAAATACAGTTAAATTTATTAAGTTAAACAATTTAGTGAAATGGGTAATTTCATTCTAACACTTTAAAGCCATATGCAATTATTCAACATTTTCTTTAATAAAAATCTAAAGATTTGTTCAATGACTGAAAGGATACGATGAAAAAGGTGATACGATGATCGTATAGGTGGTCGTGGTTATCAAAGCCCCTTTTAATATAACGATTTGTTTTTATATAATTGAGTTGGTGACCA